CATATCCAGCCTGAAAATCTCCAAAATGTCCAAAAAAATGCATTTTTGGCAAAAAGCTCCAGGAGTCAATGGGTCAACAAGAGTGTTTGTTTGGTGTTTTTACACTCTAAAAATGCTGACATTACACATTACATGGAGAGCCATCATGAGAGCCATCACAAGAGTCATCACAACAAAATGTACAAAATTTATGTCAAGTGTTCATGGTTCAAGTGTCCTCTATGTAAACTGACAATAAATTTGTCACACAACTATATATTTTTTTTAATCTTTACTCACTCCAACTCAGGAGGGGGGTACTCCCATTAAAACAGTGCTTTAGTTACTTAAATATTGACAGTTGAGGTGGCATGCTCAGTAGAACAAAAGTAATAACAGCTCACTGTTTAAATGCTAGCATACTGCATGAGCAAAGCTATTGTACCACCAAGCCTTAACCATTATTGACAGCTACACATACACTGTAGCTGGACTGCTATGCAGAATAACAGCTGACGCAGGTTCTTTTCAGGCTGAGCAAAGTGCAATCACAGTGAACTAAAAACTCCACGATTTAATTAGCATTTGTTACCTACATGTACATGTGCAGATAGAATGTTGTTTGTTTTATAGCGTGTGACACCACTAAAAGTAACCAAAACTGGAAGCTGATTTGGAAGGTGGGGGGTGGACTGGGGGGTGTTTACCACTGGATCCTAGAATTTCTTATCCAGGACTGCACAGTAATTATTATAATTACTTTACAACCTGGTAAATTAATGCCTTTGTCTTGACTGAGTATGTCTGAGTTCTCTTATCCTGTTCTTGCTTTGCTCATATATAGGGAGAACGCTTACCAGATACGAAATTTCTGTTATGATGNATATAAATAATTGAAGTTGTTTAATTTATTATTTATATATAATAACTCTATGGTAAAAGATTATTTATAAATCAGGACGTACCTAAAATAATTATATACGTATCAACGGACAAGTTCTTGTGTCTTATTTATAAACAGATTTTGTGGCATTTCCAATTATTTATAAATAAGGGGAAAACAGCATAAATTCAGTCTAAATAATAAATTTACAAACGGCGCCCCATAGAAACCAGCATCTCTTCTCCAGAGTTTATGATATACCAGACAAATTTTGAAATTCCCAAGATTAAAATGCCCCAAAACCCTGCTCTGTCCAGCAACACATAAGTATATTAACTGGAAAGCTTCTAAGCTGATTGTTGTGAGTTATTTTGCACAATAGAAAGTAACGTAGAGTAACTTTATGCAGCACTTATGATTGTTTTGTTTTCTTATTTTCTAGGCCGGGGCTGAAATTTCAACGATAAAACCGGAGAATTATGCCAAGAGATTCCTGGATTTAATGGAAAGAATATTTGCATAGATGTATTTACAGGAATTTTAGAGTATACAGTATGCATTTAAATGTACAATTTACATTGTTGAACATCACACGCTAACCCTTTGAAATGCCAAAGCTCAAAAAACATGTACATTGAATGACACTGTCATTATGAATTAATGTTAATTATTATTTTTAATTTGAGACTGCATGAGCATAGTCAGGATTATTTCAAATTCTTTATTACTGTTGATGTTTTTGACTTTTCTTTGACACCGTTACTTAAATTCATTAGAAGCAGTTTCTAGCTGCTAGGAAGTGAAGTTGTCTTAATGATATTTGTCCCTTCTTAAAAAACACTTGCTTTCACAATATCTTGCGTGCTAGTAGAACAGCTTTTATCGTGTTTGACAACTTTTATTGTATTGTTTTCTTGTAAACGCAAACATTTTGTGAATATATTTCTCTCCAGAAGACACAAATAATGTTACCCACTAAATTTTCAACTTTTTTAAAGAATGCCCTTATCTTCTAAATCTGTTTAATATTAATTTATTTCATCGTGGATGTTACAAATTTTTTGAAAGGAAAGTAATCCATAATAAGGAAGCCTTAACTGTGTTAACATTAAAACATTTTGTTTTTCTAGACAGTAAGCTTTCTTTGTTTATTTCAATCTTTGAATTAGTAGTCGATTAATTTCTCTTAATATTTGTAAAGGAAAATAGTTATTGATTATTTTTCAGGGTTTCAAGGGTAGTGGCATCTTAATGCTTATATATTACGGCTAAAATTAATGATGTTAAGTCATGGAATTGCTATCTTGGCTTGGCAGGTTGAGTAGTCTTTGCCAGTCACTCAATGTGTGCGGTTTCTTTGTAAGTTGTAGTTTTTTGAAGGCCTGCCAGGGAAATGGATATCTGTGTTTTGTTCCTGTTTGCATTGATTGTTACAGTTTTGCAAATGTTGTAAATTGACAGGTCCTGTGGGAAATTAGATGCAGTTTTGTTGACGGTTTACAGTTCATGTTAGGCCTAGTGTCCCAGGTGCTCAGTATAATCGTTGCTTGTTCCAATCCATTTTACCCTGGCAGTGTACCTTACGGCTCTCTAACAGATTGCAGATATTAACAGCCTAGTTCAACTTTTTTTGAAACAGTAATGTATTGTGATTGTAACTTATAAATCAAGTTGTGAAGCTTTTGAATTAGGTAATACTAATAGGAAGTACTTTGTACACATGGAGCTATTAGCCCTACTTGAAGAACTTGAAAAGGGAGATTTTGTTTTAGATATAAATGTTAGGTACCCCACCCCACCTTACCCCACATAAAGTAAGTCAAACTGTCAAGACTCACTTATCAACGTATATTTGCTTGTTACCAAAGGAAGTATTGTCATGGTCTCTTTTTAGAACCCATTTTTCCCTACTAATTTGGTTTAGTGCCAATAAGTGCCTCTTCCCCACTTTAACATAAGCACCCTATTCCAACTGGCACCCCTCTAGCCAATAGCACCTCTATAAATATGCAACTAAGCCAACTATTTTTAAATTACAGCATCTTCAGAAGGCATTGAGGCCATCGGTTTGATTCATCTTTCCTCCGAACGGCTCTCCTCATGCCTGCATTACAATGCAACCATCCAATTTCCATGTAAAGGAAGATCCCATTTTCATTTTATGCACTTTCCTGTTAATGTCAAAAATGAAATAAGCTCCTTATCCCTTAAAAGTGCCCCTCCCTCTTGGCCCACAAAATAAATAACTGGCTAGGCATTAAATTGAATTATTCAGGTATATGGAAAACTTAAACATGTTAGGTAGTTTCATTTCATTGTATTTCTACATATGGGAATATTAAATTCTTTGTCAACATCTATGTGTGAGCCAACCATTACTTTTTTGCTCTGCTTAACTTTCAAGAAAGCTGAGTTAGATAATCACAGCAGTTGCCTGAGATACTAGCCTGCTAAGCAGATGTCCTTATGGCGTCTCACGCAATTTTCCTCCCTCATTTGGAAGGAGAGATTGTCTGATGAGCTATAAGGAGATTTGCATTTGAGTTTTCTGAGAAACAGGGTTTTCCTTCATTTTTCTATGGTAATTTCAACCCTTTCACTTCTAGTGTTCAGTGTTAAATTACGTGCTTACATAACGTTTATGTTTTAGCTGTGAACGCTGTGTGTGAGCATTCAAATGAAAGCTGTTGAACAGTAGGTTATTTGGTGCTGTTTGCTTTTCAACATTCTGCAATATTTGATTTTATCTTTTTAAAAAAACACAGTCTTAAGCACTTTTGTAAAAATGTGTGAGTGAAAGGGTTGTTGCCCATGAACAGGACCAACATCCCTTTTTAACAATCATTCTAATGCTTTGTATGAAAAGTTCATTTACAAAATCTCCCTTTTAGCAAGCAAGACCTTTTGCTAAGGGTTTTAGTCTATAACTTAACAAGGGAAGGTTTCTGCAACTTGACTTTCAAAATTCTTAACTTTTTTAAGAAGTCGAAGAACATTTCCACTTATCTACTAGTAAGAAAGTTATCACTATTGTATACAGCTATAAAATTTGCCATTGTTAATAAATGTAAAAACATGTTGTATTGTAAGTGATGATGCTTGTAAACCCTTCATTAAAATTTGTTGTAATATGAAGTTCTAGAGTTATTCATTTTAAGTTTGGAAACCCTAAACATACATGTAGTCATTAGAGGGAATGGTTATGAAACCTGGCAAAGTTCTTTGTTGTA